TCTAAATCTAAAGTAAAGTTAACATGTGATAAATCTTTAAGTTAGAATTTCTTTGTCACATAATTTTTTTGTCGCTTACACCATAATAGTTTTTTTAATGAAGTAAGAAAACTTGGCTCAAAATCTATATTTCGCATTTTTTTTATTAAATTATGTAGTTGAAAAATTCATAGATATAATCTTGCAGTAGATTTAGTTCGAGTGTTAGAAAAAATTATTTTTTTATTACAAGTATAGTTTTTTGCAATATGTTCGGAGGCCACATTACGTAAACTATTAAGATCCAATACACACACTCAATGTAGCAAATGAGTATATTTATTGCGAGGTACATTAACTTGCTACCTAACTTTGATGCTCCAAACTCTTCTTCATGTCCTAGTGATGTCATCTTATAAGTTATCTTTACTTGATACTTTTGTTTGCCAAAAATTTTTTCAATTACAAATTACTTTTAACTGTAATTGTATTCAAACTATGTATTATCTTTTAGAATTAGATCCAAAAAAAAGTCACATACATATACAATCTTTTTTTCTCCTCTAACTTACCTTGAAACGATAATTTACCACTATCTTGTAGTTAAAATCAAACAAGAACTTACCTCCACAAACTTACTACTAACTACTCTATTCTTATTAGTTTCAATACATAAAAAATCAATCAGTGTCCAGTTCCTAACATTACTCAACAATCCTAACCATCTAAGTTTAAATAAATCACTGTGGATAATACCACATAACAACCAACAACCACCATCTTTCTAACAACGGGCTATTACCAAAACACAAAAAAAAATATTAAACCATACAAAAGAAAGTCATCTACCTCTAAAAACCTACAAAATGATTGAAGTCATCTTAAAACATCAATTACATCGAATATCTTAGAACAATACTAACCGACCATTGTGTCAGAGCTAAAATAAAACAAAAACTTTCTTACATGTCACTAGTACTCTGTATCTATCAACTTTAGTACATAAAAGTCAATCAACATCAATTCCTAGTCTTATTTAAAAAAAGCAAATCCTAACTATCTAGTTTTGAATGTATCACTAGCTCATCACTAAATATTCAATAACTATCAGCTTTAATACATAAAAATTAATCAACATTCGATTCCTAATCTTATTTGAAAATAGTTATTCTAACTATCTAATTTTAAATATATCTTTAAAGAAGATATTATTTATTTGCTAACAATCACAAGTCATTCTGTCTACTAGCCATAATCCAAAGGGAAAATCAGCAGACCATACAGAAAAAAGTAAATTATCTTGAGAAAATTATTAACTGATTCAAGTTACCCAAAAACACCAATTACGTTGCATTTCTTAAAAATAATATTGATCTATCACTATCTATGAGCTAAAGTCAAAGTTGTAATGAGTGCATATTATTTTACAAATGGTAAACGAGTTACTTTCAAGCAACTAAAGAAATCTTTCGATCGTATTCTAGGATTGAAGATTAAGTTTAAGAATGATTAAAGAGAGAGAGAGAGAGAGAGAGAGAGAGAGAGAGAGAGAGACTAAGTGTATTAAGAAGCCATAAACTGGAATTGAGCAAGTTCTGAGCTTCCTGTCTGTGGACAGGTGTGGAGGAAATATATCAGGATGATAACTAAATAGTGAAGGGAACATTTCATCATACTGAAGATGCAAATATTGCAACAATTGAAAGAATAAATGAGAAGTATACAACACAGATAATAAATAATGAGGTAAAATTTCATACGCACTCTCTTCCTCTGCCGCTCTATTTCTCTTCTTCATATGTACTCTCCCTCTTTTTGTCACTCACAGACTGTAAAACACGCAACAAGCTATACAGAGTACCTGCTAGCGTAAGCAAGAGAGCAAGTATTCGTAGGTTTGCTACAATCAGTAAATATGCAAAATCATTAAAATAAAATTTGAATTTTCATCACTTACAGCACAATTTTGAAGAATTGTCAAGACCTCCGTCCTCTTGCCAGCGACGCGAGAAACAAGACAAGCATACCAAAACTCAAGAAATATAATGTGAAAGACAAGAAGAAAAAGATGCCTCATAAAACACAACAGCTCTTAGTACCTAACCACTGTATAGACCAGCTCCAGTATCCTGAGTACTATTTCAGTAAATGCAATCTCATTGGAAACACTGAAGAATCAAAAGAGACTGCTGACATTATGCTACTGCAACCGATGAAGACGAGTTCCCGCCATCACCAGTATTTGCTATTAAATCGAACCACAGACCTTTTCCACTAAAATGACCATGCAGTAGATCTCCTTGTTGAGCTTCGTCTGGAAACTTTTTAAAATTTAATGTGATAGATGATGCATAAACAGTTAGCATTGCAACTCTCTCCAACTCCATTAAAAAAAGTTTTTAAAAAATTAAGCTAACAAAAAAATAAAATAAAACAGAAAAATATGATAAAAGAAGGAAGACAAACCTCTTACTCTCTGAATACCTCATAATCCACGTTTAAAAGAGTGGTATCAAAAAAAGAAAACAAAACACAAGTGACGCGCCTGGACCATCTTAAACTTTTTACCCAAAGAGTTACACGCTAACAAAGTATGAAAATTTTAGCTACTTAAAAACATAAAAACACACGATTATTTACCTTAAAAGTGCTCCTCAAGATTGGTAATAACCTTCTGTAGTCCTATATTAAAGTAAAGAAAAATAATATTACTAAGTAAATAATGCTATATAGAAAAAAATATAAATATAATAGAAAATAAAATATATGTCGCAAGCAACCGAAAATAAACCTTTTGTTACGCGACTATCTCAGAACCCAACATTTCTCCAGAAGTGTTACCCACAAAAGAGAACAAAACGGAAATAATATATAGTTGGACTCTATTTAACTTTTTGCTTAAAGATCTTCATAATAACAAAGAAATAAAATTTTAACTAATTAAAGACAAAAGATAATATTGACTACGTGTTTATTTACCTTATTTTTGACGTTTGAAATCTACAACAAATAAACAAAAGTGAGTATATCAATTTACATACGGTCAAGACTCTTTTACCTTGTAATTCAAATCAGAAGAGAACCAATAGCAATTAAATGTAATATATGCACCGCTTGGCATGGAACAACGGATATCAAAACTTCAAATTAGAAAAAAAAAAAAAAAAAAGCGACAAAATCAAGAAGAACATATATAAAAAGAGAACAATTTTGTTGTCCTCTGCACAATATTGAAAACAGCCTCAAGCATTGTCATGTTAATGTACACAGAGAAATAGTGCTAAACTTTTTCAATTTATGGTCATTTCAACTCATGCAAATGTTAGAACCGACGTATTTACTTATGGGCAGATACTTGGGGTTTACTTTTTTCTTTATCAGTTTGTAAAGGTAGTCGTAATTTGTTTGTTGTAGTTTGTGATTTTTATGTTTGAGATGTTTGTTTGCTGGAAAAGTTGAAGAGCTAAATATAATTTTTGTTTCTGTTTACTTATATTTGAGTTTGTTTTTAAGGGTAGTTGTAATTTATTTGTTATAATTTCTCGTTATTGTGTTTGAGATGTTTATTTGCTGGGAAAGTTGAAGAGCTAAGTAGTATTTTTGTTTTGGTTTACTTGAGTTTGTAATCGTAGTAGAATTACAGCACGTAATTGTTGTTGAAATTTGTTGTTTTAGTCTGTTGTAATTTCACTCGGGTCAGTTGTTTGTTTCGTTTGTTTGGAATTGAAAAAAAAAAAATCAATTGAATTTTTCTTTCAGTATACTTGGATTTGTGATTGTATTTGAGTTTGTTTGCATTTTTATTCGAATTTCAGTTTCTAACCATAATTTGTTTTCTTTGCTTTGTTCTTATCGGTCTAACGTGACGTAGATTTTTAGATTTCAAATCTATCATTCGACTAAGTTATGGTAGCATAAATTCAAAATTATTGCTTGATTAGTTAGTAAAACAATAGAAATAGTTTACGAATCAAATAATAAATAATGAGGTAAAATTTCATACGAACTCTCTTCCTCTGCCGCTCTGGTTCTCTTCTTCGTGCATACTCTCCCTCTTTTTATCGCTCACAGACCGTAAAACACGCAACAAGCTATACAGAGTACCTGCCAGCGTAAGCAAGAGAGCAAGTTTTCGTAGTTTGCTACAACCAGTAAATATGCAAAATCATTAAAATAAATTTTGAATTTTCATCACTTACAGCATAATTTTGAAGAATGGTCAGGACCTCCGTCCTCTTGCCAGCGACGTGAGAAACAAAACAAGCATACCAAAGCTCAAGAAATATAATATGAAAGACAAGAAGAAAGAGATACCTCATAAAACACAGCAGCTCTTAGTACCTAACCACTGTATAGACCAGCTCTAATATCCTGAGTACCATTTCAGTAAATGCAACCTCATTGGAAATACTGAAGAATCAAAAGAGACTGCTGACCAAATGCTACTGCAACCGATGAAGACGAGTTCCCGCCATCACCAATATTTGCTATCAAATCGACCACAGACCT